GCATCACCAAGAAAGAGGCGATTTCGGTACCTGTGCCAGGAAATGCGACCAAAGACATTCAAAAGCAATCATAGCAGAGGTGTTCTTCCTGACGTGGCTAAAAATGGTTGCCATACTTCTGGCGCTCCGCAGTAGAACGTAACCCTCTAGGCCTCAGCCTTGCTTTGTTTTAAAAGAGCGCCCTTTTAACTGGGTAAAGGCCATTGGCTTCATTGAAAGCCTGGGGGATTCTCTGCGTCTGATCAAATTGTTGCCATTATTTTGCGTGGGTTGCGATTAAAACTGAATACGCTCAAGATTCTTCTCTGGCAAATATTTTTTTTTTTTGCGGCGTTGCCAAGCAAACTTTGCACAACATATGCCCGTTCGCCATGTCAGTGCTATGGCGGTGTCGGCCGCCCAGTCAAGCGGGAAACGGTGAGAACCCGGCGTTGATGAGGAGGTCCGGGCCAGCCAAGGCTGACCCGAAAGGCGTGCCGAGCCTTTCTTTCCTTTGGCTGACCGCGCGCGAAATGACGGCCCCTCGGGTTCTCAACGCGTTCCGCTTGCGGCTCTCCGGTTCCCGGCCGGGCGCGCCAACCGGGTCCCGGACGCCAAGCCTGAAACCGAATATTGCACACCCCACCTTCTACCACAAAGCTCTGGCATCTCTATGGCGCAATTTCCGCTTCCAAAAGAGCTGGGCTCACTGGAAGAACCCCCCGCAACCAAACGCCGCCACGGCACGGGCGGACGGCCCGTGACAACGATCTGCCTCTGCTCCGGCCGCGTCCGGCCCGCTCCTTCTTCCAGTTGTCGACTTTTTTGGCACCGCAGCAATCCGCAAAAACAAAGCCCAAAAACCCTTCGCCGGCAGGGGCGGGGCGCGGAAAGCCTCGGAGCGGGCGGCTGCCTCCGTTGACCGCTGTCGCTTGGATCCCCTCGTCATTTCCAGACCAGCTGGCCTTTACCTTCCCAGCGCCCCGTTGCGTTGGCGGAAACCGGCTCGCACCCCAACGGCCGTTTTGGTGGCCCCATTTTTCTTAACAATGCTTGGCTGTCGTATGGGTGCGGAGGAAAACGAAACAAAAAAAGCACATCTTGAAAAAATATAGTCGTTTTGCGATCTGCGGGCCATCGCCCCCGTTCTTCAATCCTATGTCGCGCCACCCTTGCTGTTATAGTATGGTTGGTTTCCATTCACGGCGTAAGAGCACGACGCTTGGTTGACGCGTGTGGTGGTGTGTGGGCGCCGCGAGCGCACGCTTTTCCCTTCTACCTTCCGTATCCTAACCGTTGCTTTCCCTGATTGAACACAAATGCTATAGGGGCCTTAGTTGGCCGCGTTTCTTTCCCCTCAAATTCCAACAAGCCGTCTTGGACGCCCCTTTTACCGTAATTAGTGCAAAAACGTGAGTATTCGTGAGTTCATAAACGAATTCTTTTGATGCCTGACAGCAGTCCACACCTCTACACACACAGACTATATATATATATATATGTGTAGATATGCATATGTATATATGTATGTATGTGTACGGTGCGTTTTTTCATATGAGTGAAGTATTGGAAAATAGATAATTTCGCCCAAAGTATGCAAACCCCCCCCAAAAAAAATCATCTTCACGCATCAGGCACCAAGAACCCTCAAATAAATAAAAAAACAGACGGTGCGCCGTGTGCCGGGGAGTTGCCCCCTCATGCAGGCAGCAATCGCCTACGTGACCCCCAAAACAGCACGACCCGCTCTTGTTCCCATTTACTCCTGTTGGGGGTGCGGCCCGTTTCAACAGGCTCTCAGAGATGAGAGAGCGGAGGGAGGCCCTCGTCTTGCATGGGGCACCGCTGGAGCTTATCAAATGCCTTCTTCACGTCCTTGTTCTCGTACAGCACGCCGTACACCTCGTGAGCGACGGGGAGCCGCACCCTCATCTTTTTCGCCAGCTGCTCCAGCGACTCCGCGGTGGCAACGCCCTCGGCGACGGCCTTGGAGGTGCGGCGAATCTCCGCCATGGTCATTCCCTGGCTCAGCTTCTTGCCGACAGTGAAGTTGCGCGAGAGCTCCGAAGAGCAGGTGAGAAGAAGGTCGCCGAGGCCCGCAAGCCCGAACACCGCCTCGCCGGTGCCGCCGAGCGCCAGCGTCAAATTGCGGATTTCCAGCAGCCCGCGTGTGATGAGGGCGGCGCGGGCGTTGCAATCCGTGCCGAGGCCCTTGATCGCACCTGACGCGATGGCCAGCACGTTCTTCACCGCGCTCGCCACCTCGCAGCCAACGATGTCAGTCGAGGCCCAGCAGCGGAAGGTGCCATCGGCNGTCGTAATGATGCGCTGCACCCTGCGGGCCATGTTGATGTCTGTTGCAGCCGTGCAGACGTGGGTGTGCATGCCCTTCGCCACCTCCAGTGCGAAGGAGGGCCCGGCGAGCACCGAGATGGGGTAGCCGGGGAGGAAGTCTGCAAGAATCTGCGCAGGGAACTGCAGCGAGGAGCGCTCGATGCCCTTGCTGCAGACAACAATCGGCACCCGACGCTCCACGATGTGGCGGCGAATCAAGTCGCTGTTCTTCTTCAGGTATCCGCGGAGGAATTGCGTGGGGATGGCGAGGAGGAGGATGTCCGCATTCGCAATGCATGCCATGGTGTCGGCGGTGTACGTCACGTTCGACGGCAACGGCACACCCTTCAGGAAAAGCACGTTCTCCCGCTTTTCATTGATCATCTGCGCCTCCTTTGCGTCAAGATGCCACACAGACACCGTCTCCGCCTTCTTGGCGAGGACGGTTGCCATCGCGGTGCCGAATGCACCGCTGCCCACCATGGCCGCGTGCTTCACGTACTGGACGTCAGCGATCATCGTGAACTTTATTTCGTTGACTTTTTGGTTAGTTGTAATGTTTTCACTTCTCTGCGAGAGGATTGCCAACAGACCACGAACAGGGGCAGAAACACAGCAAATACTCCCCAAACATACAAGCACCCAAACAGAAACCCCAACACGAGGGATGAGACACAAGGCATAGTTTTCATTGATGGTATCAGGGGGGGCGGCAGCGAACCTCTTTCCTTCTCTCTCTCGCCTAAAGGACTGTAAAGGGGACCTCCCCGCAAGCCAATGATGCTCCCTCCCTCCCACTTAGCTCCTTCACACCCTGCCTCTCTCTTTTCGTCTTCGAATACATGCGTGGACATGGCGGGGTGTGTGCGGAGCGGAGTGCGTCGCGGGACACGAGGCTGTTTAGCCTTATGATCACCCGGTTGTGGGGAGAGGCGGCATTGGGTGCTGGAAGGAGGAAGGCCGTGCGGACACGGAGTGGAAAGCGGCACGGTGACGTCCGGCTGGTGATGTGGGACCGCCAGAGACCGTCGCGAAGACAACCAGAAACATGAACAACAAGCACGTCATCCTGGTTGCCCTCCCGTTTCCTCTCTCACCTTCGTTCTTCCTCCCCCCACTGCACGGACCTTGCCGTTCTGGCCACACCATTTACAGTCCACAACGTGAGAGAGTGACGTTTGTGATGATAAACGTTATAGCATTGCAGCGAGAACGAATGGAGTGCTGCACCTAGTGCAGTCAGTCATGTATATATATATATATATATATAGCTCTGCACACATCACGAACAAAAATAAAGAAAACAGTAAGTTGCCATCGAATACATGGACAAACAGCCCCATACTCTGTTGGGTTTTATTCACTCATCCGCTCTCTTCGTACTATTTATTAGTGTTGCCTACGATTTCTTTATGGCCGGACGTGCATTCTCATAATGTTTTCTTTTCTTGGGTTTTGTTTGTGCTGGACGTAGAGGGTACCGAGTTTACTAGCGGCCTTGAGGTGTGCCCCTTCACTAGAAAAGGCCCCACCCACGACTGCGGTGGACTGGCGTCCTCAACAGCAGCCAAAACGGGAGAAGCAGGGGATAAGGCTTTATTTACTTTGGGCTGAAGCACGGGTGGTGGCGCGTCCACTTGTAGCGGGTGGTGTCTTTCTTTGTGATGCAGGTGCTGATAGGGCCCTGAGCGTGGGTCGTCCGTGTTGTTCGCCGTCACATGCGCCTGTGACGTGTGCGTTACGGCACCAATTAAAACAGGGCCATCGTCACTGGGCGGCTTAGGTGGCGGTACAGGCGGGATGACGCGTGATCCCTCTGGTGTGCTTCCATCGGAACTCAAGTTCTCGTACAGTTTCGCTTTGCCATCATCAATGTTTGCGGTCTTCTCAAGGGTGACCGGCGCGTCGGTATACATTTGCTCATTCACCTTCATGCCCGTATCGAGATCTGCACCGTACATAGTGCGGTCGTTGATATTGATGCGCACCTGACTATTGAGAGACTTGGGCGGCAACACAACGGGTGGCGGCGGCGGCGGTGGTGGCGGCGGCGGATGAAACGAGCCTGGGCGTCGGACAAAGCGGTCGTTTGCGCGAGGTGGAAGGTACACCGCCGTATCCACCACTGCCACTGCTGACCGGCGCTTGTACATGCACACACGCCAAATCAGCACGATCAGCAGCACGAGCAGGATGAAGAGGAATATCACGCCCACGATAAGTAGGGCGGTCCACTTGTCCACACCACCAGTGCTTGGTTTGTAGTTCAGCACATCGTTGGTAAGTATCTGCCACCGTGTCTGTTGGTCACTCGGCGCGAAGCACAGATAAAAGGGATCTTCCCGCGCCGCCACTTCAAGACGCACGCTCCTGGGGGCTCCGTTCACAGGCGCTACCGATGCCTCGCTCTCAACACCGGCGGTGCAGTTCTGTGACGAGCGCACACCATACTTGTGGTCAAGGCTAAGCCCCGAGCCAGTCAGCACAATTGACACACGGTTACCGCTCCCCCCGCCCATGTTCAGGGAAGTCACGTAGACAAGCGTTCCAGTTGCGTGGGCGACGTCTCGTTGGAGCGGAACAAACGTCACGCGCAAGCCGAAGACCTGATCAGAGGACGCCCCAGGTACACTCGAATCTGCGATCGGAGGTGCCGCAGCACGAATAATGAGGGACGTTCCCCACGTGCTGTTGCTCATCGGCTGAGTGCTTCCGCCCGCCTCCATTGTCACGTGGAAGTCCCCTGACACACCATTCACCGGCCGACCCTCCGCGTGGAGGCTCAGCGTGCATGTGAAGGGCTCTACGGGTGTAAACCACAGCACCGAGGCGGAATTCGCTGAAACGCACGAAATGGTGGTGTCACCCGGTTGTGGTTCACCAATTACCATGAAACGTGAAGGACTTCCCCTCATGGGGACGTATACATTACTGCCATCACCCGATGGCACGGAGCCGAGGACGGACACAGTGCGTGATAACGCCGGTGACCCCACGTTGAAGATGTATTCACCGTTTAGGCTCTCCGGGTAGTCACCGATTGGGACTGCTGTGTTGGAAGTACTGTCATCGTCTGTTTCGCGGAATATCTGCAAATATTTTGGCATGGCGACGATACTCCATTCGACACCGTTGATCACACGCTTTCCCTGTGCGTGGCAAGTCAAATTTGCGCCTACCCGCACCATCGTGGGCGATGGTAGACCGGCCGAGGTAGACTCGCAGCTCAACGTGCTGCCCGGCTGGGGCTGTGAGCCAATGCGGACAATCACAGGCGAGTTTGCTACCGGCCAGCTCTCAGACGGTGGTGCCGTGGTCGTCACAATGGAGACGAACTGAATTATCGGCTGGTCGTGCGGGGGAACCACAGTGAATGTGTAGAATGGGAAACCACCACTGGTACCACCAGGCACCACCGGTGTGCTCGTTCCAGCGTTGATCTGCACGTTGTACTCCGTCGGTGCCGTGGGCGATGTGACCTGGATGATGCACGTAATATTCACACTTGTATCGCTCGCACCAGATCCCAACAGAGAGCGCTCAATGATACCGACTGGTTGGCACGAAACTCTTGACACTGGCTGCGGCGTGCTGGCAGCAGCCACCGTAATGGTGGGTGACTCCACGACAAACGTCACCCCACCACGGAAAGTGAAGTTCGCCTCCATGATGTATTCTCCCGCCGTCGATATCGTAGCTGTGAGGAAGTAGAAGATGCTATAGTTCTTATGTGTGTAAATGGAGCCACCAGATAGGAGCTCGTCCACGTTGCTACCGTCTGTCCGCTTCAAATGCATCACGACGGTAGCAAACTCATCCGAGGTTGGCTGTCCTTCTCCGTCCACGAGAGTCAAAACAGGCTGCGGTGAACACGCCGTTAATGCTGTGCATTGTGGTATCCCGCTGAAAACTGCAGTGGTGGCGGTGCGCAGACTGACCTCCACGCTGCCCGCCAGCTTCATCGGAATTGCATCCACTTTCATGTAGCATACTGCATGCGTTCCCAACTCTGTTGGCAGCGTTGTGTAGAGACTGGTAATTCCATCATCGCTGGCTCCTGACATTGCCGAGTATACTCCACCTGTGCATATGTCGGCATTTCCTCCGGTTCCTTCTCCGATGTTAACAAGTGCAGCCAGATCGGTTTCACGAAGTCCTTCACCGGTGAATTCTATGTGCAGCGGCGTGTTCATCAGCGCTACCGAGACAACTCTAAAACTCATCACGGTCGGACTGACATCGAAGGAGTTGGGTGTGATGAGCAACATTGGCCCCGGTGAGACAGCGGCCTTGAAGCACAGTACATATTTTCCCGTCTCGAGGAATTGAAGCCGCCGCACCATGGAGCTAAGGCCATATCCATCACTGGAGCTCTCTGAAGGCACCTGTGGAGTGTAGGCGGCGTTGTTGCAGATGTCTTCAGGAATATTTGCCGCATTGGGAACTCCAACAGCCGTGAGCTGATCCTCTTGCGACAGACCACGGCCATGTAAAATAACAGAGGTGGCCACACCAACTGTTGGCGGGACACTAAACGTGGCGGAGTTAACCTCCGTCAGGCGTACCACCGGCCCCCCACGAGATGCGGGTGGGAAAATCGTCGGCATCGTCTCCCCTTGTGCGGCGTAGCAGAGCGCATACACCCCCGTCACATTCAACCGTGCTGTCCACACATCAGTCTGGCTTGTGTTGCGCTCAAGTACGATGCGCCCATCACTGGTCATGGGCTGCATGCATGCCCATGCATAGTCCCTCATGGTGGGTGTGTCGGTGCTGGCAGAAACAGGCGCCAACCAAAGATTTTCTCCCTCTGTTGGCTCTGCGGCGCCAGATGGCCGTAACAGTGTCAATTCCATCAAATCTGTCGTGTAGATAGTCGCGGGCGTCATGGACCAGCCGCTCGGGTTTGGTGGTGACACCACCACGGTGTCAACTGTCCGAGCGCACTCTCGCGACGACCCCACCGCACAACTTCCCACACGGTTGGAGTAGCAGATGTAAAACGTTCCTGCCTGCGCCACAGCCGTCGTTACGACGGCATCTGTTGGCGTGGCTTGGAGATCCACAAACGCGTCATCGGTGGGACTTGGTGCACTCTGGCCAACACATTTGTCTGGATCCGCCACGAGCACCACGTAGTCGTCGGGCGTTGGTGTGACACTGAGATTGAATTGGAATATTTGCATCGCAGTCGCGGTGAGGGGAGTGCCCAACGGAGGAGGCGATCCCGCTATCACCCCCACTGTAGACGCTCCAACGATTGTAATCACACTGTTCGCGTAGTAACACAACGAGAGTGCCGTCTCCGTATTCGCTGGGTGCCCTAAACGCAGATTTGCAACACCATTTTGAACTAAAGCGACACCATTCGGAAATGTATCCGTCGACGGATTTGGCACCTCGTAGTACGGGAAGTCATTGCATAACACTGTACTGTAGAAGACGAAGGCCCCCTCCACAGGCGGTGCTGACGACTCGATGGTCCACGTGGTCATCTCACCATCCCACAGAACGTTCCCCTTGGACGATGTCGCAGCAGACGGGTCTGCTGCGCCCAGCACCATGGCGTCCCCCAGCATTGTGTGGTACTGCCCACCGTTGAGTTTGTAGCACACCCAGTAGGAACCTGATGCACTTGGGGGAGAGCGCACAACCTGTACAGCGTGTGTACCGTTGGCCACCAACGCGTAGTACATCACATCTGCCGCTGACGCCTGCACCTGGCACGCCTCATCTGTCTGTGGGCTCGTCGATGCTATGAGCTTCACTTCATCGCTCTTGCCACCCTGATTTGCCAAAAGTCCGGCACCTTGGAACACTAAGCTAATCAGCTGATTTGCACGCAGAGACGCTGCGGCGGGCCACGTACTGTGATCAGAGGGATTCGCGCCAATCACAACAATGTCAAAACCCCAGATAATGACACTGTCACCTTTCCAGTAACACAATGTATGATTCCCGCGTGTCCCTGCTGCCAGTTGGAAGGGCAGGTATGGAGGCAGAGTGTCAGTGCGTGAGGGAGAGGTTACAATGACGTCCGTGCTTGGCGATGGTGCAAGACATGACACAATGCCAGTGTATAGTGCTATTCTATCATCCCTCGACATACTCGAGGACTCGTTAGCAGAAGTAAAGTTGAGTGTGAAGAGCTCACCTTCCAAGGGGCTCTCGGGTGTCTGCACCACAGCTTCAGGGTCACGTGAGAGGATGTTGAGGTCTCCGTATACCAACGTCCATACTCCGTCCTCTGCGAGGCGGTAACACACGCTGTATGTCCCCGTAGTGGTAGTGCTTATGGTCAAAATAGACCGCGTGCTTGTGGCATTCACCACACCCCATCCATTGGCTGTGCCCGGAATAGGATTCCCAGTGATGGGTGCATACGACACCATATCGCTGGGTGGCACAGACGCCTCACTACAGGAATCGGCCTGGGCGATGATCTTCGCGCTGTCCTGTGCACTGAGCCCTGTGCCACTGAATTCAATGAAGTTCTGCTGCATCACCCGTGGGGCGCCGTTGAGCACGGTGAAGCTGGTGGGGTTTGCTGGTTGGAGTGTGACGAGATTATTCGGGATCTCCGACCACGATCCACTGTCTAATTTGTAGCACACACGGAGCCGGGACGACGATGACGCACTGGGTTCCTGTGCGGCGAAGAAGAGGCCATTCATCGATGTGGCACTTGGTGTGCCTTCAACGACCCCACCGTCAGTGTCCGAAAGAATCCAACAGTTAGACAAGCCTGGCTGTGCTGCGCCGCGATCACTTCCAGGCGAAAGCGGTACAGCCTCGTCATCCTCCTCGTTGCGAGCAAACGAGAGACTGATCAGCTGACCTCTACGTGGGGCAGAGGGGTTGATGCCCCAGGTCGCTGGGTTATACCCACCTATGCGAAGTGGCGCACCGACATCTTCGACGCTGCAGCCCATTGACCTGTAGCACACGACTTCCTGACCGCCTTGGGTGGGATCGAACGAGCCGAGCGTCTGCGTTGAGTTACCGTATACACCGCTTCCTGCAGCGTTAGCCACGTAGCAGCGTCCCTCCCTGTATGCAACGGAAGGGCTAAGGAACAGCGCGGTCGCCACATCAAAAGCACCATTGTATGGAGGTCCAGGTACATACGGTTGGGGCGGCACCGCCTCATACGGCACCAACGATCCGTCTTCTTGTGGGTCGCTGTTACTTGCCAGGAATGTCATTAATACACGTTGCCCTGCAGTCACACGATCTTGTATCAGCGCCGATGCGATCAGACGTGCGCTGATGCCAAACTCAGAAACAGAGGGACGTGAGGCATCAAGGGGCACGGCGAATTGGTTGCCAGCAGCATCCCCGTAACACAGACGCAAGGAGGTGCTTCCACTGCCCAATAGAGCCGGCGGAACGACATAATTGGCTGTATCCGTGTTGACAGATGTCCCTTCAGTGGTCTGCGTCGCGTCTCCAACTGTTATGCTTGTAGCGACAGTTTTGGTACCATCAGCGTAGATACACTGGTCTGTCCCTGCCACAAAGCGGAATCGGTCGGACGAAGTGAATCTAAAACCAGTGCGATGCGCTGTTGCGACGCTGAGGGTCTGCCCAAGACGCAGGCACCCCGTTATACTGCCTGATGGTGACGGCTCTGTAAAGGTAAGTCTCAGACACATTGGGCTCCAGTTGGCCACTGTGCTATTCACTCCACCAAAACGGTAGCACACCTTGAACACCCCTGCTGTTGGGGCAAAGGCCACAACTGACGTGTTCCCCACGTTGGTGATGCTAACTCCAGAGAGGAAGACAGCCGCGGTGTCGTTAAAGCACGGCGAGGTCTGAAGCACCACCCGCACTGAATCATTGGAACCGTACAGGTCATTGGTGTCTTCTGCTGAAATAATGGTGCCTCGGACGTATTGCATCGCCCTCATACTCGTATCATCACCATTACCGGGGCTCGTTGTTGGCGGATCCTGCACACAACTCGTCACAGCTGAAGACAAGACAGTAATCCTGGGGAGCACTGGTGCCCACGTCCCGCGGTCCAGCTTGTAACACATGTACCGCGTGCCCTGGCCTTCTGCAGCGTTAAAGGTTGCGTAGACATAGGACGAGCGTGTCGTGTTGCTTGCCCCAATTACCAGCGCAGGGTTTGTCGTGAACGAGGTGTCCTCCAGCTCAAAGAGATCCAGTACATCTTCCGCTGGCACTCCTTCAATCGTTGACTCGACACAATCACTCGGTGACGAGACAAATGTGATGCGGTCGCCCACCCCAACCACGTCATCTGCTTGACTAGAAGCGTGCGTGAAGGTTAGGCGAAGCGTTTGCATGGCACGAATGAGGTTTGCGTCGCTAGGGAACGTCGAAAGCCGCAGGTATGGACGAAATACCAACGTGTTACTTGAATTAGCCGGATTTATCGTCCCAACACGCGCATATTCGTTCGACAGACCCGGCATGAGAGCACACACAATCAGTGTCGAAGCACCTAACGTGTATTCATGCTTGAATGCGTACACGTGCGTCGTCGGCGTCGAATTTGTCATTGAGCCACCCACAACAGGGAACGCCTCCTCATCACTGCAGATGGTGAGTGCATCGACGTATTCGACGAACTTTACACTCTCAGGGGGATAGGAAGTCATGGAGTCGTCGAGGGTGAGGGCCAGTTGCACCGACTGCCCCACATACGTTGGGTTCGGCATAGGCGTGAAGTAGAGAGGTGAGGCTGCAACAGTTGACACAAAGCACTCCCCTGTCTGTGCGTTTATTTGCCCGCACGTACACACTGGCCGCGCGACGCCATTGTGTGTGTAGCAAATGAGATATCTCTCCGCCACCATCGACACCGGCCACTCCACACCGTAGAGAACGGTGGTGTCGTTGCTCTGCAGCAGCCGTGCTCGTCCCTCAACAAAGTCAGGGACATAACCGCTGCCACAATCCGACGCAGTCGTACCGAAGAAGGAGACGCGCCAGCTGTCTGCGTCGACCTCGACACCGCTACGCTTGCGGAACGTCACGTTCTGCTCCATTCCCACACGCACATTTCCCTCCTCCAGGCACTCCACCTCGCCTGGCAAAATCTGCAGGGAGTCCGACAGCAGCGCTGCGGTGGCACCACGCAGGCGGTAGCAAAGGTTAAAAGTGCCAACGATAACAGACGTCGTCGCCTGCGTGCGCACCCTCTTCGCACTCGACGCATCCACATCCAACGCAAAGACAATGCACTGCGGACATGCTTCTGGTGCAATACCACACGACTGTGTGGGTGGCGCCGCCCACACAAGGTCACCCGTGGCATTCAACTTCCCACCATTGTCGTCAAAGACAAGCACAAACGGATCAAAGAATGTTGGCCGCACGCCATCCGCGACCTCCCACGTCTGTGGCGCCATCGGCTGTACTGCAACGGCGCCGCCTGTCTGGAGAGATCCACCAACAACACCCCACACACTCTCCGTCGCGCTGTAGTAGCACACCTTATACGAGCCACTTGTGTTAAAGCTGCGGTACTTAAGTGCGTCCGTACTGTCCACGAGTGTGACCCTGGACGTCATGGCTGTCGCATTCACCACCACAACTGAAATTTCGCTGGGAAATCCCGTAAGTGGCGTTGCCGATTCGCACGGCTCCTCAACTGTTGGAAGCGAGATGCGCACTTTATCATCGGCGGTCGGTGGGATGACCAGCTGGAATGTGAGCTGCACCTTTTGGCCCACGCGCGGCGGATTCGGGAACGGCCGCATCGACGACGGGTTTGGGCCATCTACATACACGTCACCAGCGGAGCCGCTTGCAGTGGGCGCGACATCAGCCCACAAAGAGTCCTGCTTCTGCACGCAAACACGCGCAGCTCCAGGTGTCTGCCATGTCGGCACGTCGAGCAAAGATGCACTTACAATTCGGAGCAGCGGCTCCTGAACATTGTCGCTGGTGAAGTTGTGGCACCACGACTCCTCACTGGTGTCTGTCGCGGCAATCACTGCAGCGTTTGCGATTCTCTCGTCGGCGCTGCCAGCGAGATCTATCTGCACACGCTGCCCTGCACGCGCCACACCAATCGCCGGGCGCAGTGTTACATTGGTGGGAATAGGGGCCCTGAGCGACAGAGGTGTTCCTACCTCGCTCCACACATCCCCACGCTGGTAGCACACATGAGCTGTTACATCTGCGTCATTTACGAACTGCACAACGAGCGTGACCGAGGCCCCTTCGGCAGGAGTGTTTTCCGTCGCAGCGAGACCACTTACGCGCCGCACAAAAGCAGAAGAAGCTGGCGGCCGTGTTGTGGCCTCCGCACATGGCCCTTCAGTGAACACAACATCGTCGGCGGTGGGATCGAGGCCAGTGCCGGTGAATGTGATGGTGATGTACTCACGTTGTAGTTCATTGCCTAGAACCGCACTTGTTGCGTAACCGCTCGGGTTGGGCACACCAAGGGCTAATTCCTGTGGCACTTCAGCAACGGTGGCCCCTACACGCACGTAACACACCACGACAGACTCCGCCGTGAGACCTGGCGGGAGGCTGAAAGCGTAGGAGGGGTAAGCAGGTCCCATTGGCCATACTGACACTGACGTGTTATCGTCACACGCGCGGTTTGTTGCTAGTGTGTCACCAGCATATGAAACAATAAATGCTGTGTCACCCTCCGCCGCATCTTGGAATGCCATTGTAATATCTATCGTGCCACTTGCAACGTCCCTTGGTGTTGTGGTATAGTTAGCCGGATCCGCGGCACCCATTGTGAGGGCGCTGGACGGGAACGGCACCATGACGTACTCCTGCTGCCCACTCTCGCGGTAGCACAGGGCGTAGGAGATGGGGAAGGACGTCGGCGGCCACGCGCCAGGGCCGAGTGAGGGGACGTGACCGAGCCATGTGCCGTTGGTCTCAGTGACAGCTGTCACGGCGGCAGGACCTGCAAGAATACCAGTCCCGTTCATTGTATCGGTGTCCCAACAAAGACGTGTTGCAGCCACAAGCATTGCCCAATCCTCCAAGCTAGGCGCACGCAATGCCTTACTCGTACTTCTGGTGCTGGCATAATCGGTCAAGTTAAACATCAGCCGCTGCCCCTGTAGGGTCGGATCGGGCGTCACTACGATGGCAGCGGGCGAGTTAGAAACAGGGCGGATGGGTTCCGCGCCAACCTGCGCGAAGCCGCTGCCGGACACGCGGTAACACACCGCATAGGGGGCATCATCTTCCATACCAATGCGCAGCGACATGACCGCACCACCCTCTGTTGCACTTATGCGCGGCACACCATACGGAAGCGACGCCTCCGTGCCGTCGAAGCAGCTGCAGCCGGCACACGCAATAATTGCCTCATCCCCTTCTGTGCTGGAGAAGGCGTCGTCATCAAATGTGACTACTGTCGCTCGCCCTTCCATCGGTGTGTTGCTTGTCGCATAGCTCGTTGGACCACCAGCTTGCACCACCAATGCGTCTTCCATCTGCGCGTAACCGTAGCTGTTGGCGACACGGTAGCACACACTGTAGGGACCTGGCACTACACCGCTACCAACAAGCGTCAGATTGAAACTGCTCCACTCACCGTCCGGCGCCACGCTGTGAAACGCCCCACGCGCCACCGCAAGGCTCTCGTCACAATACACACCCTCGTTGACAATCATGACACGGTCGCTGGCGGTCAGTCCAGTACCGAGGAAGGTCATCAGCGGACGCGTGCCAATGCGAGGGGTGAAGCTGGTGTTGTAGCTTGTTGGGTTACGGGCGCCCACGTAGTATACCGCTAGCCGCACCAGCGGATGATCGGCGCGGCGGTAGCACACCGCCAGCGCCACGTCTGTTCCTAGCTGGCTGCTGAATCCCAATTCCAACAGCGTGTTGTTCCGGAACGTCGTGGTGTACACCGCGGCAGGGAGCGGCGTCGGCGAGAGCCTCTCGCCACACCGCTCGTTGCAACGCTGCGAGGCATCCACGACATGCACTTCGTCTTCTTCCGCAAGCTGCGTACCGTAGATGAATATTGTAAAGGCTTCGGTATCTGGCGTGATGAACGGGGGTTGCGTCACGACGCGTACAGGGTCCTGTGGCGTCACGGCAAGCACCGACGGCGGCACAACGCGGGCAATGGCATCTCCAGCAAGGCGGAAGCAGAGCGTGTAGTTCGTTGTTGTATACCCATACGGCAACGTCGAGACCCACAACGCCACGTCGTTTCCAGGCGGCGTATCCAACACGGGGTGGATGACATCCGCCGCGGTGACCGACTCCGCCGACCCGCACGCCACATTTGGCGGCAGAAGCAGGAACTCGTCTTCCTCAGAGAAGGACAGTTTCGGGTAGCTGGCGCTGGGGAACGTGAAGTTGAACCCCACCGTCTCCAAGTAGGAGGGGGCGACAGGGCACAAATCAGCGTTGGTGGGAAGTGCGGGGTAGATGGAGAACGTCAACGGCGCAGCGTCGGCGCCTGTCACGATAGCGTAGTTTGATGTATCCGTGGCCTTCCGGTAGCACATGTAGTAATCGCCCAAAAACGCGTCTGTAGTTCCAACCACCACGGTAACAGTTGTGCTGCTGGCGTTGCTCAAGTTGGCGTTGGGACTCAGCGTCACGTCCGCAAAAGATCCTTGTGGATCATCGCATGGGTGCCCTGTTGCCCCTTGTGTGACGGGTACAATGCGCACCCTATCGTCGACGCCAAAGCCTTCACTGCTGCTAGGAAACGTCACCGACACGTTGTTGCCAACGAAGGTGTATGATGGGGTAAAGCTGCACGGGTCACAGGCAGCCACGGTGAAGATCTGACTGTGTGCGATAAAGGGATCCGACTCTGATTCATAGGCGCCTAGGTACAGTTGGTACTCACCTCCCTGAGGCAGTGCAACTTCGAAGGTATTATCACTGCTGCTCACCTCGTAGTACACTGGCTCCACGTACGGTGGGTCCAGTGTGCATGCCTCCTGCGGTGCGAGTGCGAATCTCAAGTAACGTACCCTTATCGCCGTGTCACTGCTTGTGAAGGTTAGTGTAAACGGTTCGTACGGCCGTGGCGATGCCGGTGAAGCTGTGGGGCCACCAAAAGGACTAGTGCGGAACACGACAGGCTCATAGAGATAGGTCGGGGGTGGCAACCTCAGTGGAACCTCAGCCCATGTGCCATTTGCAAGTAGGTAGCATACTGTCACACTTGTTGCACCAACAGCGCACACTTGGTAGACTGCGACCGTGTTGTTGCTTTCACTGTCCACGCGCGCAATGGCTCCAATGTCATTGCTTACTGCCGCTGCCTCTGAACAGTCAAACACCACCTCACCAGCACCACGGTCCACAAGTTTGATGCTGTCTTCGGCGCCAAGTAGACCGGTGGTGGCGTCATCAATGATGGTTAGGCGATCCACTTCTGTGGCGTACGCAGGACTGGGCTGCAGCAGGTACGCAACAGGGTGCGGTGTCCCAACGGTGAAGTTGTGAAGGTCCGATACCCACACCCATGTGTTTTCCACGCGGCTGCTCTGATAGCAAAGCACAAAACGACCTGTTGCGTTGACGCGTGGCGTGTATTGAGCATGTGCGGTAGACAAAGCAATCACGTTGCTGCCTACCTCCCCATTCGTCTCCTCTGCATCAGCGTTCGCCGCCGACGCGGTACACGCGCCATCATATGATGTTCCACCTTCCTCTTGGTTGGTAACATCGACAATCTTGACGTGATCGGCGCTGCTTAGCGCGTTACCGAGAATCGTGACGACAAGCTGCTGTCCCATGTACGCAGGGGATGGCGCCACCACGTAACTCTGCGCCCCGGTAAGTCCAACAGAGAAGACAAAGCCACCCTCTGCGTTCGGCACCGGAAAGGACGATACCTGGCCCTCTACGTTGAAGCACACGTAGAAGTAGCCCTTCACCATGATGCTGGGCTCCACCGTCGCGTACGTAGTGTTTGTGGGTGTAAAAGTGTTAAAAGAGGTTGTGCCACCACCGGAAGGGGGTTGGCCGTTCACACAATTCGGTATGATATTGTCTGCCACCACATCTTCATCCGCCACGAACAGCTGTGCCCTGTTTTCTGTCACTGTAGAGTTAAATATAGGATCTAGGGCCCTGAAAGCCATTGTAAAGCCTTCACCAACAGTGATAACGTCCGGCACAATGTACGCGGTAGGTGACGGGTTCAGCACTCCAAGCGGGGCGATATGCACCGAGGCAGTGTTCGTGGAATTACCTTCCAACTGCAGGCACAGCTGGAAGTCTCCGGCACTTGGGAACGGGTATTGTGTGCGACTTGTTTCTAATAACACCTGCAATGTGGTGTTCAGCAGTACAGCTGCTTCCACCGCCTCGCTCGCTCTTGGACGGTAGCAGTCATCTATGAAATCGCTCGCGTTGCTTAAAGTGAAGAACAGCTGGACGAAGCTCGCCGCGGTGTAGCCGGTGCCATATGTAGGGGTCACTTCAATCGATGGCACCCATGCCCGTGGTGATGTTGGCACTGTGGTGTATGCCGTGATCGGAGCGGCCGTCACCGTGATGGTAGCAGGGGCATCCAAATCCCCAATGACTTCGTACGTGAAAAACGCCTCACCTTCTGTACGCCCAAACCGCCGCATGCAGACTACATAGTCCCCTGGAGCTGTACGTATAACGAGGTGCAGGTACGGCGCCATGATACCAGACGGGTTCGTCACGTTCATCGCACTGTAGTTAAAATCCTCTGGGATGATGGCTACATCATCAACAGTGAGTGATGATTCACAGTCGTTGGTCCTTGAGAAAAGCACAGCGTCTCTTGTCTCTGCTTCTGTTGAGAAGGACAGCACCGGGTTTAGCAGCACGTTCGTGTCGAACATCAAGTAGAATCGCTCCCCACTAAAGACGATAAGATCTTCATTCACGTTCTTGAAAGCGCCAGTAGGCGACTGCAAGGCAGAAATACTCAGCTGCAGGGGATCTGCTACGCGGACAGGTGCACCATTCGCTGTTGAGGTATAACAGAGAATGTACGTTCCCTCCACTGTTTCATTGGCGGAAACGCTCCACAGGGTGTTGATGTCAGTGCGCACCAGCGCACCGCTCGTGATGGTGGGTGTCTGGTCACATGCCGGCTCTACATCATCCGTCACCCGAATCAGTGAGGCACGATCGGTCGCCTGCAGGAACTCTGGCTCTTGGGCGTCGCCCAGGAAAGTAATCCTCAACGTCCTCCCTGCCTGCGGTTGCGTGGGGAAAGCGGTCCAGGTGCGGGGAATCTGCTGCATGACAGATAGACTTTGATCCAAAAAGGTTCCCCGCGGCACTGTTGCAAACGTACCACCTGTGCGTCTGTAGCACACCGTCAGCCTCGTGTCAATGAGACTCGCCGGTACCATGAGTTCTGAGACCTGCACTGTAGTGCCTTCCCCTCCCTCCACCAGAGGGTGGTCGGCAATGTAGGTGGCGTTACCGCTGCCGCAGTCGTAGAGTGTACCGTTGATGATTTGCAGCACGTCTTCCGTCCCAACACCGTCACCTCCAAGAGAGAAGGTTAAATTAAACGGTTGATTGGGGAACAGTATCGTGGGGGCCGAGGTGTACCCCACTGGGTTTACTGTAGCAACCGTGAATGCAGTACTATCATCGCTGCCACCGCGAGTAGTGACGCGAAATAGTCCAATATCCACCTCCATGCACAGTGCATAATCTCCAGCTGGAACAGCGAGACGGCCCGCGTAGTACGGCGCCGTACCCTGGCCAAGCATATTAAGCCGCACATCAAACTCGGGCGAAATTCCCGTAGCATTGTAGTAGGGCATGTAGTTGCATTCCGTGCCAGCGTCAATGAGGTCAACCAAGACAAGGTCCGACTGGGTGCCTGTGGAGAATGTCGCACCCACGATGAGCTCTTCATACTGCGTCATTACATGGTCAGCTGTGAAGTTATCGGCACTGTAAATGTAATACAGCGAAGGGGCCACAATAATGGAGGGTTGCCCCGCCGCATCCACCGCCGCAATCTCTGTGGTGGATGACTCACGTGTGTAGCAGACCGTGAAGCTCGACGTCTCTACCCCACCAGTGAAGCGCACCACACCGCGCCACTCCGTTCCGTCATTCGTCACTGTGGCGGTGCCAACTGACACGGTAACAGCCTCACCTTCGCAGGTGCCCAGCCGCACCGTCAAGACATCGGCCGCAGTCAAAGCGCGTCCAGTGACGGTGACGGTAGTGTACATACCAACTGCAAGCGGAGTTCTATCAAACGACGCCCTTGACGGGTCTGCCGGCAGCAGAGTGACATTCGGCGGTTCGTTGATTGGAACAGGTGCCCATGTGGAGCCGCTCCGCATGTAGCATAACTGCATCATGCAAGACACACCGGGTGTATCGCAGTACGTGGGATCAAAGAGGAGACCAGTACCGAAGCGCTTATCACGATTTGACGCAACCCACGTTGCAGTGGCGCCTGTGGAGTCAATCTGCAGAGGGTTGGGCTCGACACTTGGCAAGAACCAACCCGTCAGCGTGGCATTGTTATTAAGCACATCGGTTTGGAGATCGTGACATGTGAATCCGATACTCGTGAGGAGAAAAATTTGGTCGCCTGCCTCGAGCCCAGTGCCCAGAACAGTCATCGTCACGTCAGAGGCTTGGTTCACGTAAATGTTGTCGAACGATGACGAAAAGCTTGCAGGATTTGCGGCCCCAACGGTGAATGTCCCTGGAATACGGCGACTCCCTTCCACATCGATTCCATAGCAGACAGTAAATTGCCCTTGAGGCACAAATTGGTTGGGGAACGTCACAGTCGTCGTCGTTATACACCTGTCACTGGTGAAGGTGCCATTTATATCGACCCAACACGATGCCATAACACCTGGAACCAACCGTAGCGGCACACAGCCCAAGCAAGCGCTGTTGGTGCACTGCAGTTGCACTGTGAGGAACATTCCAGCAGACGGCTTCTCTGGTACAGAGGAGAAACTTACAGGATCCGCCTCACCCACCCTCAGTGGCGTGAGAGTGTAGTTTTTAGAGTACGGCAGTTCCCCATACATCCCGTCGAGACGATAACAAAGATGGTACTCACCTGGCACATTCACCACCACACGTTGCGTATACCTGACACTGCTAACGGTCGGGTCACCTATGTTCTCGGTCGTCTCGTCCGTTTCGTCGTCATTGATTTGGCTACAATCTGTTGTAATTGGAACGAGCCGCATGGCATCGGCACTGCTGAGGTCACGGCAAGCCACCTCCAGACACTCCTGCACCGCCCGTATTGTGATGGGGCGACCCACACGGTTTTCGCCACCCGTACTGGTCGCAGTGTAGTACGTTGGCTGCGCCATGCCCACACTGAGGCGGCCCATGTATGTTGGGTTGCCAGAACCTGCAACGTCATAACATACCACATACAAGGCATTGTAGCCATAGTTATCGAATCCGCTAGGGCGCGTCCACTGCGTTTCAGCAGCACTTGCCCCTGCCCTCAGTGGCGCATCGTCGTAGTCCACACGCGCTTCTGGCGGACATGTGCTACCACAGTAGCAGTTGGCCGTTGGATTCGATGCCCTGGGAAAACGGAAGAAGTAGAGAATGTCAGTTTCAGCCTGCAGCGAGGTTGTGTTCGAACTGAAGTTCAGCGTGATTGGTGCCCCTGCGCGGAATCCACCTGTTGGCACTGTTGACGTGTTCATCTCTGATGGTAGACGCTCCAAGAAAGGGATGGAACCGGCATACGTCACTCGCCGACCCGCGCTCCACAGATAACAGAAGTGCACCTCAGCTCCACTGTACATGCGCTCAGATCGGGTATATTCCGCCACCGTCTCTGTCGTGCTGGTGTTCGCCTGAATGCTCGACAATAACGCCCTTGGTGGCTCTACGCCCGCCGGCAGACACGCCCTTGCAGATACCGACATCAGCGCCGACCCCATAATGGCATACACTCTATCGCTGCTACTGTTGAGACCGGCACCGGTGAAGGTCGTGCTGAGGAACGCGTACGCCACACGCCACTGCGACGGCGTGCGACTCTGCAGCACTGGATTGGCGGCAGAACTCGTAAAAGCAAACGCGGTGGACGCGTCGTCAGTCACCTCTTTTGGAAGCACCGGAACGTATGCGTCGCCATCGCCGTGAACGCTCGCGGCACACACAATGTAGCTCGTGGCGGGGGCCCCTACGACAATGTTAGCTGCTGTTCCGCTCAAATCTGACGCAAAGTCCGCCTCATTCCACGCGAGTTCGCACGCCGGGACTCTGTTCATCTCTGTCGTGCCACAGAAGGACACGACACAGTCGTTCGTCGAGCGCACCAGCTTCACCGCCACTGCCATCCGCGACAAGGTGAGTGTCAGTCGAACCGTCTCCCTGGCAGAGGGCGCGCCATTCTGAAATGTGTAGCGCAGACTGAACGGTCTAATATACAGATCCTGCGCTGGGCAGCTCGGCGATGCAGCTGCCGCCTGCCGCGGGCGCGCCACGGTCCACTCCGTCTTTCCGCTTATTCTGTAGCATATCTTGAGGCACTGGGCGCCGGCTCCAACAACATCGTACTGATATGTTGTGCCAGCCTCCAACTCGACACCATTTGCAAGTGAGAACGTCGAGACGGGGCTACCCGTGCCGCAGGTCTCTGTATTATTCAAGATGCTCACTGTGTCATTCAGCGACAGCCCTTTCCCCACAAAAGTGAGTACGCCCTTCTGCCCAGCGTAGAGCGGGTACTGGGCGAGGGAGAAGACAGGGTTGCGCTCCCGCACCATAATGTTGCCACTCACCTGCGCGTAGTTCGCTCGCCCCGCCTTGCGGTAGCATACCTGCAGCGTCATTGCATCATTCGTGAGCGGGTCTACCACAGCCTGACAGACTGGCGAATTGCCTTCCGTTAACGTGCACGGGAATGTCGTCGCCGCAGTGGAGGCGTCACACTTCTCTGCCGATGTCAGAAATGCGTCATCCGTCCCCGAATCGAGCCCTGCACCAGTGAAGATGACAGAGAGTTCGTGCCCCACACACGGAATCTCTGGGACCACCGTAAACCCTGTCGGTTGCAGGATGCCAATGGTGAAGTCCGCTCCAGGCGCGTCGGCGGATTTGTACACCGCAGCCCAGAGACCACCGCCGCTGGCACGACGGTAACAGACGCGTCCAGATGACACCGCGTTGGCGAGGTTAGGAGCCACAAAGCTAACGTTCACCGTGTTATCATCCACCACCCTGACATCGCCCACCACCAGGTTGCTGAGTAACGCAGCCGACCCGGACGTGCAGGCGCCATCGCTGCGAATGACACGAATCCCGTCATTCTCGGACAGATCCGTGCCGGAGAGCAGCATGTACCCTTCCTCACGTACTTGTGGCGCGGACGGTGCCACGGTGTAGGTGCCAGGGTTCGCGTCCCCAAACCTCAGTACAAAAACACTCTCAGCCTCTGTCGTGGTGCTCGTCACAACCGTGTATGACATCCCCACCGTCGTGCCACACCCGACCGTCGCGTTAAGACAGTACGGGATGCAGAGCGCGTATCCACCCGCCGCAGGCAAGTACGGCACTGTGAGGCTCCCCGTCACTGACGTCGTGCCTGCGCCGAGCACATTGGTCAGCCGCACCTGACCAGCCGGAGACCTTGAGCACACCTGCGGAAGCGTGTCGAGACTGCTGCACAAATCTGCCCCATCCTGCGAGCACGGGATAAGGAAAAGGGTGCTTCGGCTGTTCACCCCGCTGTTCACGGGACGACCATCCTGCCTTGTCTCAGTCACTGTGATGTTCACCAGCCCTTGCCCACCGCTCGCCTCCGTTGGCCGCATCGTGAGACTGCTGTAGATGCTCGGCCATACCAGCACAGAGGAATTGGTGCTGCTGCCGCGCCGCACAGGGCGTGCGGTGCCATTCGTGATATAGCAGACAATATACGACGAGCCAGCAGTAAAGACGGTCCGCTTTACGGAGATGGTCGCCGTGCCGGCGAAGCCATTTATGTCTGCCGACGCCACAGTGAAGTTGTTTCCTGTCACATCACTCCCGGCGGTGTCGCACGTGGGTTTTGACGCGTCTGGAATGAAGTAGAACCAATCCCCGACACGAATTGCGGGGTCCTGGACCAAAGGGTTGCCGGCGAAACGCAGCTCCACTGTCTGATAGAGGGACAACTCCGCCACGTTCGTCGGTGCAAAGAGAAGGGCGGCCTCAGCCACATCTCCGAGGGCCGCCACAAGGAATAAGAGAAATAACACAACGGCGAACACTGTCCGCATTAATGTAGCCGGAACACTATTTCGTCTTCTCCCAATACCGCCTCCCGTGGCGGCTGCCAGACCATTTCTATGCGTCGGTACGACCCNTGTAGCCGGAACACTATTTCGTCTTCTCCCAATACCGCCTCCCGTGGCGGCTGCCAGACCATTTCTATGCGTCGGTACGACCCACTGCATGAGACCGCCTCGCTGCTGTTGTTGGTTCAGCAGCATCTCTTGTTGCTGTTGCTGCTGCGGCGCCTCGAAGGGGGTATTCGGTCACACGTCTATGTTTGATTCACGGAGCACACCGCGCGTATTTGCGTGTGTGAGTGTGTGTGTGTGTGAGCGCGAGCAAAAATGGGGAGGAGAACGACGATCTCCTCGAGGAAAGCAAAGAAAAGAGCAGAAAGTGGTAGAAATATCAACAGGCGATGCTGCGACTTCCTTGCCCCCCTTTCGCTATCTATGTGTGTAAGAGCCTTATTTGTCTGTTTTCCTTTTTCTTTTTTTCCCCTTCCCCGCTCTTCTTTATTATTCACGCGTCCCGTCCTCCTCTCAAATAAATAAAGTTTTGTTTTTCTTTTCGTTTTCTTTGCCTTTCCTTTTCTTTTTTCCCTTCCCGGTGGGGAGAAGAGAGAGAGAGAG